GCCGCCCCCCCCAGCCACTCTGCTGAGAACTCGCCAGTTCTGGCGAAGACAACAAGCCACAGACACAGCCCTGGGCCCGGGGTGCCTGCGTCCCTAAATGACGACAGCAGGAGACCCTTCTCTCCGGAAACGTCCGGGCCCGGCCCGCCTCACCCCAAGTCCCTATGTCCCTGCACAGCAGGCCGGTGGAAATGGCTGTCGACGAGCGTCCCCGCTGTTACCTGACGTTCTGCGCAGGCCCCTGCGCCGGGGACGACTTCGGACGGCATCCCGAGACCAGCCTTCCCAAGGTTCTCGGACCAGTCCGAGCGGCCATGATCGTTTCACCGAAGCCGGTCGCCACTTCCCAAAGCAGCCCGTGGCACCGCCCTCCTCAAGATGGGCCGGGCCGCCAAACTTCCGGGCCTCTCAGCCAATCGGCTGGCCCCGAGTACAGGACACGCCTCTCTCTCCTTCCGGTTTGCTTAGCGCGGCGTACGCTTTCGTTCCGTCGTCCCACTGTAAACAAGCTCTCATTCTGTCGGCCAATCAGAAGGGACGCAGGGCCGCCAGGGCGCACCCCCTCCCCTAGCCCACCTATCGCTGCCGCCGCGCGTTCACGTGTGTGCCTTACGTAGACGCCCGGGGACTATTCGCCCCACCTCTGTGCTGGAGAGCGTCGCGGGGCCGCTTCCGGGCGCGGAGCCTGCCACGTGTGCGCGTCCAGAACTGGAGGGGCCTCTGGGTTCGGGTGGGGCTGGAGGCTGCGCAGGACCGTGTCGTAGGAGAGGGACTGTCACCCCACAGCTGTCCTGCCTGCCGTCTTCCCCTGGGAGGGAACGGTGACTTCACAGCTATTCTGTCTGTCGTGACTCCTGTGGCGGGGACGATCACCTCATGATGTTCTACCTGCCACGTCCTTTGTGGAGGGGTCTCCACCACCTCACAGCTGTTCTAAGGGTGAAATTGCTGTATCATAGGGAATTCTGTTTAACGTTTTGAGAAATTGCCAGACTTTTAAAAAATGACTGCACCATTTTACATTCTCATTAGCAATATATGGGAATTCCAATTTTTCCACCTCCTCACCAACAATTGTTAGTGTCTTTTCATCACAGCCATTTTAGTGGGTGTGAAGTGGCATTTCAAGGTTTTGGTTTGCATTTACCTAAAAATTAATGATGATGAACATCTTTTCATGTGTTTATTGGCTATTATATAACTTCTTTAGAGAAATGTCTATTCAATCCTTTTACCTGTTTTAAAAATTAGATTATTTGTCTTTTTTTTTTGAGTTGGAGTCTCTCTCTGTTGCCCAGGCTGGAGTGTAGTGGCACACTCACAGCCACAGCAGTCTTGACCTGCTGGGCTCAGATGTTCCTTCTGCCTCCACCTTCCAAGTAGCTGAAACTACAGGCATGCACACCACACCTGGCTAATTTTTTAATTTATTGTAGAGATGAGGTCTCACCAAGTTGTCCAGGTTGGTCTCAAACCCCTGGGCTCAGATAGTGCTCTCACCACTACCTACCAAAGTGCTGGGATTACAGGAGTGAGCCACTACACTCCACTTAATTTTCAAATCTTCCCACAACCTCTGTGTTCAAAGAACTATCTTCTTTGAAATAATTTGTGTGAATACAAATGAAAAACTGATTCACAAGAGCCTATTACTACAATCACAAATTTTAACAAGTCTACTAAATATGTTCTGTGTATCAGTTTTCTTTTCTTTACTTTATTTTGAGTAGGAGTCTCACTTTGTCACCCAGACTGGAGTGCAGTGGCATACTCACAGCCACCCCAGCATTGACCTTCTGGGCTTCTGTGATCCTTTCTTCTCAGCCTTCCAAGTAGCTGGAACTACAGGCATGTGCTACCATGCCCGGCTAATTTATTATTATTATTATTATTTATTGTAGAGTCGAGGCCTTGCCAAGTTGCCTGGGCTGGTCTTGAATATGCGGGCTCAGGCAATCCACTCGCCTCAGCCTCCCAAAGTGCTTGGATTACGGGCTGAGCCACTGAGCCCAGTCAAAATCTACAATTTTAAGAAGTTCCTCAAGGGATGCCCTTAGGGTTTGAGAATCACTGTATTAGTGGGAGGGAAAGAAGATCTCAGAAACACACACATACACATACATGCACAGGCACATATGCATGCTCACACCACCCTCTTCTCCAACCCTACTTCCACACATAGGGGCTCCTGGAGAGGCACAGCCGTTGATACACTGCCACAAAGAAAAAAAAAACACTAAAAATTGCCCCAGAGTGATGGCTCATGCCTGAAATCCCAGCACTTTGGGAGGCAGAGGCAAGAGGATCGCCTGAGCAATTTGCCTGAGCCCACGGGTTTGAGATCAGCTTGGGCAACATGGTGAGACCTTGTCTCTACAATAAATAAAAAAATTAGCCAGATGTGGTGGCATGTGACTGTAATTCCAGCTACTTGGAAGGCTGAAGTGGAAGGATCACCTGAGCCCAGCAGGTTGAGGCTGTGGTGGCCGTGAGTGTGCCACTGCATCCCAGCCTGGGTAACAGAGACTCCGACTCAAAAACAAACAAATAAAAACACACACACACTAAAAATTGTATTAAATTAATCATCATTCCAAGAAAGAAGATGATTTTTGAGAATCTGGGGGAAGAGGGGTTGACCCTTGCTTCCCAAGGACTTCAAGGCGTACAGAACTGGACCACTGTCTCCCCCAGCCTTCTCTACTGCTTGCAGACTACCATGTACCCACCTTCTGGTGCAAAGCCAAGGTCCTTGGAAGCACACATACTTAGGTGTTGTGTCACTCTCTACTCTCTCTGGCTGCATTGTTGCCATCTCAGGGAAGATGGCGGCTGCTGTGGTGGGCTGCTAGACTCCCTCCGCAACCTCAGCATCAGAGCTGCAGGAGTGGGTGACAGCTGTGGATGACAGCTCTCCAGGGCATCCTTCCATAGGGATTGCTCAGGGTGAAAAGAGAGCTGCCTCTTCCCTCCTCCCAGGGAAGCCCAGATCCAAACTCCTGCTGACATGGGAGTACAAAGCCCTAATCCTCTCACTCCTATTCAGGACAGCTCTGTCTGGACATTTCCAGATTTCCTCAGACAATCAGTTTGGGTCTTTGTCACCCCTGAGTGGCAGTTCATCTCCCTCAGACCAGTCCTTCTGCCTTTACTCCCCACATGTGTGGCTTCCGAGAGGATTCCTGCAAGCTTCTTGCAGGCATTTCTTCATCTGAATCTGCTTCTTAGTGACCCCTGGAATCTAGGAGGTATTCAAGAAAGCAGGTTACACATGATTTTCAGATGTGGAGCACCTGTTGTCTGCAAAAATGAAGATTCTGGTGGTGGGTGGAGCACTACTAACTTCTACTGAGGAGCTGGAGAAAGACAATGAAGGCTGAGAGTGACCAGTCCTTGAGAAAGGCCAATGTGAAAGCTGAGGGCATCCCTGGCAGTAAAGGCTCATTTTCAGCAGCTAAAGAGCAGAAAAAGCAATGGTCAGGTCTAGGAATTAATATACAGAGGGTGCCAAAATAATGTATTCCTATTTTAAGAAAGGAAAATATATTAAAATTGTAGTACTCAATATATATGGATAGCAAAAGATGAAATCAAGTCACACTTGGTAGATGGTTGCACTGGCCAATTCTACCGTCCTGCTTGTCACATGGTGACACCAGTATTCATTTGGTTAACACTACCTTTTGAGCGAATGTGTATATATTTTTTGGCATCCCCAGTATATATGTGTGTGTGTGTGTGTGTGTGTATACACACACACACACACACACACACATATATATTTTTGAGTTGGAGTCTCACTCTTTAGCCCAGGCTAGAGTGCAATGGTACACTTATGGCCACTGCAGCCTTGACCAGCTGGGCTCAGGAGATCCTTCCACCTCAGCCTTCCAAATAGCTGGAACTACAGGCACACACCACCACACCCTGCTAATTTTTTGATTTATTGTAGAGATGAGGTCTCACCAAGTTGTTCAGGCTGGTCTCGAACCCATGGGCTCAGGCAATCTTCTCACCTTGGCCTCTCAAAGTGCTGAGATTATAGGCATGAGCAACCACACCAAGCCTAGATATATTTTTTGTGATGGGGTCTTACTTTGCCACCCAGGATGGAGTGTAGTGATATAGTCACCACTCATTACAGCCTCAAACTCTCAGGCTGAAGCAATTCTCTCACCTCAATCTCCTGATTATAGGAGTGTGCAAGCATGTCAGGTTAAGTTTTTGATCTTCTGCAGAGATATGGGTGGGGAGGGTGAGGGGGGTGGTGATCTTGCTATAGTGCCCAGGCTGGTCTCAAGTTTCTGGGCTCAAGCGATACTCCCACCTTGGCCTTCCAAAGTGCTGGGGTTATAGGTGTAGGCCACTTTGTCTGGCCTTATTTCTTATTTTTGGTAAAGACAGGGTCTTACTATGCTACTTAGGCTGGTCTTGAACTCCTGGCCTCAAGCAATCCTGTGGCCTTCGCCTCCCAAAGCACTGGGATTACAAGCATGAGTCACCACACTCAGCTGACAACATTTTAAATAATGATGGAGTCAGTATTACTGATTTTTCCTTTCGCCTCCAACTTCTCTGCTATGGCTCAACTCTGCACTGTTACTAATGGTGGCTGCCTTTTATAGGCTTAAATGACAGCCACAAGTGCAGGAACAGAGACCAGCTCCATGACAGCAATGGGATGATGGGATCCCAATTGAGAGAGGCCACATAGTGAGGTTTAACTGTCAGAAGTAAGGCAGGCACAGTGATCATAATTAGCACAAGGGCAGAATGGCTGAATGGCTGACATGCAGAAACATCTGGAGATGATTAATTCGAAAGGGTTTCCTTAGGGGCAGCCTTTAAGGGTACTGCTCAATACATAAAATTAAGAGAAATAAAATATGAATGATCAGGAGGTAGAAGGCACTGATTTTGATTTAAAAAATAGTAATCTTTTAACTTTTTTTCTAGATCTTGGCTAGTTTTCAGGCCTACAATTGTTTGACTTCAGATCCCCCTGACTGAAAGAGAAGCTAGGTCCCCAAGGAGGAGTGGGTGAGACCACAGTTAAGTATGTGTTAACAATTCTATTAGAATTTCCACAAAGGGATCTATCATTTGCTCTGGTAACTATACACTGGGAAAAGTGAAGTAACCAAACATTTTGAGGGCCACTGGACATGAGGCTGTTGGACACTGACATTCATATCCACAATGTCATAATATCCCCTGTTAGGGTGAGCATGTACAGGGACCAGGTCAAAAATGGAGTTCTGGCTCAAGTCTAGCTCACAGTGGCCAGGGCCTACCACATATTACTTCCCAAGTTCCAGAATGTGAAATCAAAATATATGTACTTAGTATGTACTCTCATGTTGATA